TTTATGTGCTATGCATACTTCCTTTGATGGTGACCTATTTGGTATTGTGGCTATAGATATCATCTTTTCTCTGATAATTGCCTAATTTTTATATTCAGCTCTAGAATTCCATACCATATATCCATCTGCCTAATCAATCTCTACTTGGATGTTCATTTTGTATCTTAAATAAATATGTCCAAAACCATTCTTTTTATTTATTGTTCTTTCTGTAGTCTTCCCCATCTTGGTAAGCAGTTCCTCCATCTTTCCTGTTGCCCAGGGCAAACAAACCTTGGAGTCATCCTGGACTCTTCTTCTCTCACAGTCCACTTCTGATCCATCAGTAAATCCTGCCGTCTCCACCTTCAAAACATATTGGAATTTTCGCTCACCACTTCTACAGCTACACCCCAGTCCAAACCACCACCATGTCTTTTCCCATAGCATTGAAAATATCACTTTCTCAGCTTTAAAGTTGCCTCTTCAAATTATGTTATAAGCACAACTGTTAAGATGATATCTTAAGAGGGTAAATTAGCTGTTTAACCTAAAAGTTTCAAAAACTTCCCATTTCCTCCAGAATCAAAGTTTTTACAATGATTAACAAAAAATCCTATTTAAAGCAATCTCCTATTGCTTGTTGGCCTTTTGACTAAGATCAAGTGTAGTGTCTGTTCTTATCAGTTTAAGGGAATGTCCTGTTATCTTATGCTTCAATTTCAGGCCTCTATTATTTCCTCTTCTACTCATTCCAAATTAGAAAAACATAAAAACGATTTTAGAATTATATTGCTAAACATTTAATCTAAATACAGGATTGCTTTATGTTGTGCTGCTTTACTTGTATGTATATATGTATGTATGTATTATTACTATTACATCTCTCTCTGGGAATAGAAAAACCTTTAATAGGAAGGTACATCAGTAAATTTTCACAGATGTTCATGAACTTTTTTTTTGTACAAAATGAGCTCCTAAAATTACAGGTAAAAACATGATTTATTTTCTTACTGGATGGCTTTTCAAATCAGATGGAAAAATAAGGACAAGGCAATAAACACTGTAATAATAGTAAGCTAGTATTCTGAAAAAGAAAAGCTAGATATCTATAATCTTTTTTAAAAATTCCATTACAATGGGAAGCAATAGTTAAAAAGATAAATTAACAAATTTTGTTTCAGTCTATATATTGGGGCTGAACCCAGTGTCTCACTCATGCCAATTACTAGTACCTGCTATATCACTGAGCTACACCCCTGGTCTGTTATAGTATATTTTTAACTTCAGAATTTGAAAAGCCAGAAAGCAAAATCACAAACTGTTATGCAGAGAATGGCAGACTTGTTTCCATAAAAATTCAAAACTTTTTAAAGGCTACTATCATTAAAACTCAAATGTTTCACAAGCTAAAAAAACTTGCTAATTTTTGAGACAAAGGGTTCTCATGCTAAATACACAAATAAATGAAAATGGAACTAACATATAAAAATATATTCAACCTCTATGTAATCGAAGGATACAAAAGAAAACAATGAGCTTTATCTCTTAAGATATATATATATATATATATATGCAAAAATAAGTAACTAACAACATTCAATGGACAGCAGTTTGGAAATAAGCACCAAAAATTTAAAGTGCCTATTTTTTTTAATTCAATATATTCACTAGCAAGTATTTATCCTTAGAATACAGTTAAGATGACTTTTAAAAAATGTACATGTAAGAATTCACATAAAGATGTTACTATTAAATTTAAAATACTAAAATAGTATAAATACCAATAAAAGTACCAATTAAAACAGCACTGTTCATTACATTAGATTGTTATATTCATACAGAGGGAATTTATATAAAGACATTTTCAGAAATCTTTTCAAAATACAGTAAGTTCCTAAACTAGCCAGGTGCAGTAGTGTATACATCCGTAAGCCCAGCTACTCTGGGGACTGAGGAAGGAGGACTGCAAGTTTGAGGTCAGCCTGGTTACACTGTCAGATGCTGGCTCAAAATAAAATAGTTGAGGATTTAGCTCAGTGGCAAAGTATCCCTAAGGGTCAATCTCCAGGACAGATTTGGATTGATAGATAAACAGAAGACTGATCCAAGTAAAATGATTACCTATCTCCCTTTGGTTTTCTTTTTTGTAGTGTCTTCCCTTTGGGTCTTCTTTCACTTCCTAAACAGGGGGTCCCACCAGGTCCTGTTACCCGTATTGATTCAAGGCCTTTGGAAGATTTTTTAAATGTGAATTCCACTGGTTCTCCTTCTTTCAGGCTTCTAAATCCTTCCATGACTAGCTTGCTCTGTAAAGAGTGGAGAAGGGATGAGGAAAGAAAGAGATCATGATTACCAATGCTTTATAAATTATCTTTGTAATTTTAGGATTACCAAAGCAAGATATTTTGTTATCCATTACAAAAGCATAGTCACTTTTGAAGTTCAGTGAAATTCAAATCATTTTAATCTTTCAATTATAATGATGACAGAGGGAAAATATATTAGTACTATTTTTCAAAGGCAATTTGGCAATATTTAAAACACTTTTTTAAAAAAATTAAATATGCATATTTTCTGACCCAACAATTCTACTTCCACAATTCTATTATAGATAAATTCACACAAAGGTTCAAAAAAAGACACCACAGTACTGTTTGGTAAAACAATGTCCATTTAATCTCTCTGATTATATAAATTAGTCATATAACATTATTAAGTTATTTAGGTTCTTTTAGATCTATATGCATTGATATGAGAAGACAAATATAGAATACTGCCAAGTAAAAGAAATTAAGACTAAAACACAAAGTGTCTACCACAATGCCACCTATATGAAGTTTTAAAAACATTTATGTCTGTTTCCAAAGACATGTGTCTGGAATGAGAGTGACCTTTTTCAAGTCCTTCTAGAAAGGTGGAGAACTTTTCTATATACTGCATTTTTTGAGTTTTCTTCTGATGGGAAAGAAAATTGATTTTTCTAATTTCAAAGATGGTTTATTGTTTGAAAAAAATCTCCAATTACAAAAATTGTAACCTTGGGCCAGTCAACAACTCAGTGCACTAAAGTGCCTGTTTAGGCAGAGCACAGTGATCCCTGGCACCTCTAATCCCAGCACTTGGGAGGCTGAAAACAGGAGAATCACTACGAGTCCAATCTATGTAGTGAAACCCTGTAGACCCTGCCCTAAATGCAGAAAAAAAAATTGTAACCTCAGCTTCAGATGTTTATAGGCTCTTTCAATTTTATTTTGTTCATCAAAGTGAATGTGCTGATTCAAAATACTAATAATTAAATCATTGATTTACTTCTTCAAATTCCTTTGTAAATAGCATGGAGATTATAAAGATTTTTCTGAACTTTTGGGGTGAAAAGGAAGGAACCATAACATGGCAGATATCAGTCCAGGCCTACTTCTTTCAGTATCAACTGATATATAGCTTTGAATGAACCATTTAATTTTTCTTATGTTTATCTTTTTAATTATCCCTTCTTATTGTAATGGAATTTTTAAAAGAGAAAATTATAAATATCTAGCTTTTTTTTTTCAAGCAATATAAATTCTGAGTAATAGCACCTCTGAAAAAGACACCCCGAAAACGTTTTGTGTTCAAGTAAGTTTGTGAAATGCCATGAGTTTTCTCCTTGTGCCTCTCATATTAGCATATTAGTTTCAGAAATGACCACCCTACCACACGGACATCAGAATAAAGCTTTTGTTTAACTGTGTTTAACCCAGCAATTTCCTGACTTAATTGATCCCAGAGCCCTTTCTTTATAAGTACAAATGACTAGAGTACTTAAGGAAACACTTCCAGAAAGTCTTCATTCCCTTCCCAGTCAAAGATTCCAAAGGCATCTGCTATGGCTTAGACATGGTTTGTCCCCTCAAGGGTTTCTGTGTTAGAAGCTCAGTCCCAAGGTGGCAGAAATAGGAAACTGTGGAACTGTTAAGAATCAAGGCCTTTTGGTAGTTCTTTAGGTCAGTCTGTTATATGCCTTGGAAGGAACTATGGGACACACTGTCTATCCGCTTCCTGTTTTATGATGTCTCTTGCTTTTGTATGTGCTTTCATCTGTCCCTGGACCTTCATCAGAGGCTAATCCAAGTGCTTAACTCACCATTTCATCCATCAGTGGATCTTGGACTTTCAACCTCTGAACTAAAAACTAAATAACCCTCTCTTCTGTATAAATTAGTCTACCACAGGCATTTTTTTAAACTAACAGAAAATAGACTAATAGAACAGCTTAAAACAATTTTACTCCTTATTCAGTTTTGAATGCCAGGGATTGATGATTTTTTTTTTTTTTTTTTTGTACCAGAACTTGAACTCACCACCTCATGCTTGCCAGGCAGGCACTGTGCTGATGAGTTAAATCCCCGGCCCTCTCAGGGATTGAAATACCTGAGGCCAATAGTGGTCAAAAAATATTAACTAGAAAAGACTAGAAAAAATGAACAGTGTATAAGTTTTGAACTGACAACACTCTGGGTAGTGTGATGAAATCTCCAGCCATCCCATTCCATCCTGCTCATGATATTGTAGGCAGCTAAATTAGATAGAAATATTATAGGCAGTCAGATGGGGCCAGGCCCGAACAAAAGATGAGATATGCTGCATCTGTGAGAGAGATGGATGCTCCTGCTGTGGGCCAGACCTAAAGACCAAAGATTGGAGCCGGGAAGATGGTTCAGTGGAATAAGCGCTTCCCTAGTAAGTGCAAGGGCCTGAGTTCAATCCCTGGTTCCGCCAAAAAATAAAAAAATAAAAATAAAGACCAGAGATCGAACAAATGCTTACCTCACTAAAGATAAGCATCTGGGATTGATCACTACCTTGAGGAACCCTGGAAGAGTCACTAATCCAACCATTACCTGCTGACTACCGGATGAACTCTTGTTGTATATTCACACCCACTTGCTACAAGACTCACTTCCCCATTCAGTTCTGGATTTAATCAATTTTACCTGAGCAATGGTGTCTGCAATCTCATTGATTGACGACAGTTTTGTCCAACCTCATGCCCACCTAAGCTAGTTCCCATGTTCTCCACCTAACAACTGCCTCAACACATGGTTTTACTCTATAAAAAGTCTCTGGAAGAGACACTTTCCCAGGACAACCTGCTGGGCCCCCTCTAGGACAGAAACTTTCTTTCCCCAATAACTATTCTGCTCTTAATCTCTGTTCCTACAATTCATTCTTCCGTTTTAGAGAACATAAACTTGTCCCAGGTACTTTTCAGGTTGGGAGTTTCATTTCCCTTGTATCAGTGAGATGAATTGTGCCTTCATATTGTGTATCTATTCTGTATACACTGCCTTCCCACTTAGAAGCCATCGTGAAGTTGGAATATGACAATGTTTGTGTTCAGAGAATCTTTATTTTACTTAATAATGGCCCCAAAGGACAAGAACAGTGATGCTGGCAGTTTAGCTATGCCAAAGAGAAGCTGTAAAGTAATTAAGTAAAAAGGTAAAAATTCTAGATTTATCAAGGACAGAAAATAATTATAAACTGAGGTTTCTGAGATCTTTGGCAAGGACAAATTTTCTATGCATGAAATTAGAAGGAAAAAGAATTCATTCTAGTTTTGGTATTGTGCCTCCAGTACGCAGAAATTAGTCACAGCACATGGTAAGTGAAGATGGCAAAGGTGTTGAATCAATGTATACTTTAAAGAAAAAGACACAGTACACATAGGATTTTGTACATAATGGTCTTCCTTATGAGGTCCTTGGTTTCAGGCATCCACTGGGGTATCTTGAAATGTATATCTCACAGATAAAGGAGGAGTACTGTAATCATAGAGAAGCTAAATCATTAGATGGAATGAATAAAAATACTCCAAATATAATGCAAAAGGAGACTATTACAGGTATACTTTTACCAACTTAATTTGATTTTATTTTCTTTTAAGATTATTGACATATATTATTTATAAATGAACTGCTTTTCCAAACCTAGAGTAAAAATCTGGCTCTTCTAGACCACTGAATTCTGAGTATTTATCATGGTATTGTGAAAGGAATATTTTTTATCCCTTCCACACAAATTAGTACATAAAGCAATATAGATTCATAATATTAATAATAAAAGGCCAGCGAAATAGCTCAGTGGACTAAAGCGCCTGCTTACGCAGAGCGCAGGGGTTGGGGTTCAATCCCCAGCACTACAAGCCGTCGCGGCCCAACCCTCGGGGCACACTGAGAAGGCAATTAAGACCAGGCGTGGTAGCGCATGCCTGTCATCCCAGCTCTTGGGAGGCTGAAAACAGGCAGATCACAAGTCCAACCTATGTAGTGGCACCCTGTAGACCCTGTACTAAATACAAATATACATTATATATATTATATATATTATACATATAATATATATAATATATATATATATATTTCTTACGAAAATATAGTAGCTTTCTAATAAAATGAACTTATAAAATATTTTCCCTTTGCTATTATAACAAAATAATTGTAATACATTGGGAAAGATTTCCTGAATGGTGAGGAATTAGCTCATTATATATGGTCACAAAATTCAACTTTTTTCTCTTGACCTGCCAATTTTTATTAATTAAAAGTCCTCCATTTTTCTGATCTCAATCCTTCGTTTGACTTAAACCATTTGTTAAATCTTGTGTATTCTTACTACATAGTCTTTCTGACCCATCCATTTCATTAGATTCCATTACCACACTCAGGTCCTAATACATATTTGCTAAGAGTATGAACAGTTTCATCACTGATGTTTCAGCAGCAAGGCCCCTCCCTAAACTGTAGTGTCTTCCATACCTGTGTACTCTTTAAATTTCACCTGCTGGACTCTTAACTAAAAAATCTACTGTACAAGTCTTAAGATTATAGATTACTCTTTGTAAGCTTGCCCCTACTTACACTTCCCATTTCTTTTTCCATTACTCTAAAACACAATCTCTTTGTTACTAAAACTGGCTGACTTGTATTTCCCAGATCACCTCTTCTCTGTACTCCAGCTTACTCTGATCAGAGAGACACATTCTTCTACTTATAGCTATCAAAACTTTATTCAAGCACAATTCAAGTGAACTTTTATGTCATCCTCCTCAATTACCCAAAGTTAAAAATCTTTCCTGTTTTATTTAATTGATTGAGTCTGCTTTTTTTGGTACCAGAACTCTAACTCACAACTTTGCACTTGCCAGGCAGGGGCTGTGCCACTGAGCTACATCCTTGATCCCTTAATTGATTCTTCTGTATAGCAATTATAGTGCACTGCTGTGTAAATATTGCAAATATTTGTATATGCTTTACATATTTATTCTTCTGAACTTATCTTTTACTGAATAGGGAAAGGTGATGTGTATCTTACATTTCCCAAAGTGCTCAAATAATGCTTGCAAATACTATCACTCAGTAAGTACTTAAAAGAATGCAATATTTAACACCAGGAGGAAAGTGAGGATTATTAGTTTGACTCTCATTTAAGAGCAACATCATTGAACTAAGTTATGAAAAATCAAAATTTCTGGCTTCTATATATAAAATAAGTTTGTTTTTTTTTAATGTCAGACATACGGCATATGGTTTATCACTAATAAAACGTGGATAGGATTACAATGGGTCAAGGCAAAAATACTACCCTCTCTCTGCTCTTAATATGAGCTATGCTCCTTGATCCTCCTCCTGCCTAGCTTTTCTAAGAGAATATCACTTATATTTGATACACTTCACAATCCATAATGCTCTGACCATCTGATCCAAGAACACAAGTCAAATATTTTCGAAAGATTTTATACAGGGCAGGATTTTTTTATATTTTGGGCTTACATTTTCCTCTACACCCCTGGTTTGGACAAAACAGAAAATATTCTATGTAGAGAGCACTACATCTATCTAATGAATAAATAAACAAATGAATGGCTGATATTTAAAAGAAACTTTCAACATATTTACTAAGATACCATGTTCTCACTGTGGGACAGTTCAATTCCAAAGGTACACATCACTTAGCTCATGTAACACCTCTAGTTTGTGTTCCTCTTCTTCTAACCAAATAAAGTTCTCTTTTTTCCTGCTTCTCTTTATTTCAATTTTTAAAAATTGATTTTGCCTCAAATATACTACCCAATAATACAAATATAGGCCTTCTGTTTGTCTGCTATACTCCTATTCCTCCCCTCAATTGTTTAGAATAATAAAAGGGATATGGAATTAAATGAAAACCGTCCAAATCTTTATTTGCCAAGTATTTCTGCCCAAGGATTCAAACAGAATAGCATTACCAGTTCGCCTGACACATGCATTTGTCTCTCCAACTAGATTAGGCAACTGAAGAGTTGCTACAGCTGAATACCTGATTCTCCTTGAAAACAATACATTTTTTTTTCCACTAGGAAGGACAAGCTGACTTGGGTTCAAGTAAGACAGATGCATGTGAAAATTTAGCAGACATGACTTTTTGCTATTCCTTAAAAAGCATCAAAATGAAAGTAAAATAATAAAATAACATGGATTCACAAAAAGAAAGAGGATGAAGAAGGTACCATCAACAGAAAACATAATTCAACATATCCCAGAAATCTAGAATGCAGACAGAAAACTGAGTTGTAAGCCTCACCTGAAAAAACTAACATAAGAAACTGCAGCAGACAAAGCAACCACTGTTCCCAAAAGAGACCTGGAAGACTGTGCTCAGACACAATTTGTTTTTT